CGGGGCGAGGTGGGGCGCCGTGCCTCTGCGTAAAGCTTGGTGTAAGTTGGTAATGCTCGCCGTGGGAAACTTGGTAATCCACGGCACCGGTCGCACCTCACCTCACCATCGCGTCGTGGTGAGAATGTAATAACACCGCCCCTCCCCCACTCCCTCCACACCTGTACAACTCTGCCCGCCGACCCGACGGGACAGGTCACTGCTGCGACACTAATCAATAATATGAACACTATCTCGCTAAACAAAACTCTCGAAACAGGGAAGTGGCGAGAGGAGCGTTTTGGGTGGAGGTAAACGTCTCCGCCGTGTCTACGCCGCCAGACGAGTTGGTGTGGGTGAGGGTAACCCCACGGCGGCGGGGCGGAGCGGGGCGAAGGGCGGTAAAGTTACAAGTAAAGTTACACGAGCGCGCACCACCGAGGGCATTTACAAGTGGTAGATCAAAGGGCAGCATCTCCGACGGAAACTTACGGGTTCGGTGAGGCCGGTGCCACCCTTGCCCAGGGACTCCCCTTCCTTCCAGCCCATCTTCGAGAGCATCTTGAAGCCCTTGTTGGTGGAACGAATGGACCTGAAAAAGACGCAATTGCGTAATAACCAAATGAAACCAAACCAATGCAGTATGTGAGTTCCCCTTTTAAAATTAATAAATAATTTGACGTAAGAGGCAGGGTTTTGACTTACTCTGTAGTCGATGCCACCTCCGTCTTAGCGTGCTCGTTGTGGGAGCCAACAGTCACCCGGCGGATCTCCGCGCGGTCCTCGTAGCCTGGCGCCAACTCTGCTTTGCTTTCACTGCTTCCGATACCGAACCTCTTGCGAAGTCGACGAAGTTCCTGCATTCGTTTTTCGGATTTTGATTCTCCAGTATGAGAGGGTATCGGCGCCGGCTCATATTCATCAGCTATAATGAATATGTTTTATTTCAGACATGTCATTTCTTAGTATTTTTGATTAAAATTCTCTAAACCTAAATAATTTTAGCAGTAATTTACAGACCTTTCCTTGATGCAACTACACCTGGTTCACATTCTTCACAAGTTTCCCTACCAGGATGTATGTGGCACAGCAAGTTGGTGGAACCAAGAGTGATTACTGTGCCGTGTGGGATTTCACAAGGATCACTTTCTTGCTTTGCAGCTGATAGGCGTTGCTTACTAACATAAGTCCCATTTCTACTACCATAATCGGTGAAAAAATATTTTCCACTTGATTCATCAAATGTAAATACGCCATGGTGCTAGAAACACAAAAATTTGCTGTAGCAAAAAACTCCTACAGCATTGGAAACCAAAAATGGTAATTTAGCCACACCCACCTTACTAATATTAATGTCAGGAATACAAACAGCATGGAATTTCTCCCGACCTAGTGTGCCTCCTTTACAAGTAACAATAAAAAGGTTTCCTACGTTCAAATTTCTTACTTCAGTACTTTCTACAATTATGCGCATGCAAGGAGGCCATGCTTCACTTGCTTCTGTAACCAAAGGAAATGATGATGAAAAACTGGCTTCACAATTCAATACTTGATACATATCCATAGAATTCATAAGTATGGACTGATATGAGCTTGAGAAAACACAAACAACAAGGCATACCCTCAGAAAGCCTTCGGAGTTTTTTCCATGGCTGCTCAATATTTAGATCAGGGGCATCAACAGTGGTATCAATAGCAGAAGGAATTTCTTGCATTTCTTCATTTTCCTCAATAGTGACCTTTTTGACGGATGAGTCAGTATTTTCAGTGTCACTTTCACTACTTAGCGAACATTCTCCTTCTTCCATACTATTCTCACTCCTTGAATGACTCCTATGGCGTTTCTTTTTTTTCTTTTTAGACTGGAAATAAATGTCAGTCATAAGAATGGAGCTGAACATAAAATTTTAGAGTGAACAAATCTGAGAGCTCCTGCTGCTGACCTCACAAACAAATTTTTAATTTCCATCTAGTTTTGATTCTATGTTACATTATAATTGTTCAAGCTCATATTGGCCCTACATGAATTTCAAGCAAGAATGTAAGAAAAAACTACTAAACATACCTAACACATTCTTGCGCAATCTCTCCACTGACAGTTGAGAAAATTTTTGTACAACATCATCGATGCTAGTGCTCTCACAAAATTCCTTGCACAAGAGGAATTTATTTATTAGGGTCTGGCAGCAGGATTTCTCAACAATCTAAAGAAAATTATCTCAATTTGAGGTATAGTTATGAAGTCACTTACCTTATGCTTTTTATGTTTTCCTTTTCTTTTATGTTCATTCCTAGATTCTTTGGGACTCTTTAACTCTTCCCTGCTTTCCCGTGAGCTTAAGATATCTAAAACTTCTGGATCTACAGGTGCCATAGGGTTTGAGCCAGACATTTGAAGTTCAGTCTCTTTGGTTTCTAATGGATCTGGTATTAACAAGGGAGTAGATTTTGATTTTTTCTTACTCCCTTTATCTGAACTTGTGGATTTTCTTCTAGGTTCCTTATCTAATTTGCTTGATTTCTTTTCTTTCTTTTTTGTCTCTTTTTCAGAACTAATTTGTTTCTTTTTTGTCTCTTTTTCTGAGCTAACTGATGGTGTTTTAATTTCTTTTTCTGACACAATTGATTTCTTGTTAACTTCTATTTCTGAGCAGAAAGAGTTTTGTTTCACTTCTGATCGTACGTTAAATGATTTTATCTTGATATCTGCTATTGAAGTAAATGGAACTTGGGAACTTTTTGCTGTCATAGCAACAAAAGGAATAGCTGGTTCCATCATTTGCTGGTCTGGGATAAGTTGTACAGGTGTGGCCGCATGAGAATGATACTCATATGACTTGGTCCTTTCATTATAGTACAAATATGTACCACTATTACCATCATAATATAATCCCATTTCCTGCAATGAAAGAAAAACTGTATAACAATAAGTTGAATAATGTGTAACAGGAATAATAACAGGTCCAGTGCAGTGTGATGCCAACCATGCGTCAGAATAACATAAGATTGCATACTCCTGCTGAACTCTATACGAAAAGAAAACATATACTTACAGCATTGTAATAGTAACCAGTGTTGTAATCATAATACATCCCAGACGTCTCTTCATACACAAAGCCTGTTTGCTGCATAGCACTCTCTGCCACTTTCTTCACTTCATCTGCAAGACTTATTGCTGACTTGGTGTCTGACGATGTAGCCCATTCCGAAATCTGATTGTCTGAGCTCGCTTCCCCAGCTTGCTCTAAAATGTTATTATGAGCCAGATGCTCCGTTGGTGTATCAGTCTGTGTACTGACATCTACCAGTACAGAGCCATTTTTCAAATTTAAACTGGATGATTGTTTCTGAAATCATATAAGATGTTTGGCAGAACAAAATTAGTGCAATTATCAATAACCATGAATGGGTGCATAACCTCACAGTAAGGGCGCTACAGGTAAGTTCACATAGTAACATACGTATTCCTTTAGTTTTTCGAACAACTTCACGAGAGTACACTGCTGCTTTTTGATGTGCTCATTCAGTCGCTTTATGTACAAGAGAACCTCGGGCAAATCTTTCAAAACAACTTCAAAAGAGTGAGTAAGGTCCTCCTTCAGGCAGCGCGACATAGACTCCCCTTCCTGCTCATTATCTTCCGCGGCATTCATTTTTGGAGAGACGTGCGGAGACAAGTTTTTAACAATATCAGCTAACTACATACTCCTGTACATGTGATGGGTAATGACTTTCCAACAATATCAAATACATAGAGTAAACAACATGCCTCCATTTTCGAAAGCAGACGACAAACAGTTGAAGTGAGAGAAAATAGTTCGATGTTCGTATGTTTTTGTTAGAGAAAAGTGGCGGTAGAGTTTGAAATCATAAGAGGCTTTAATATACAATATGTTCCAAGAATGTCGGGAAATACTCATGTTTTCTGGCAACTGAAGACTATCCTATCGTCTGTTTACCAGGACGTTCTTCGTCACCCAAGTCAATTAAAATCTTTGATTTACAACATTTTAATTTCAGCTGCTTGAAAGAGCCTGAACCAAACACAATTTTTCATAGCAGTAAACGAGCAGAAGTAGACGACTGGAAAAGCTCACCGGTCGGTGACTTTTTTTAACAGATTGGCTTGATTTGTTGACATGGCGAGTGGAAAAAACAACAAACAGTAGGTTGAAAACAGTTCAATAGTACTCCGATTTGTACTTTAACTATGCTCTACGTCACGCAGCCTTATCGATGATGTTTGACTCTTAATTCTCTGGGAAACAAATGCCCAACACTCATTTTTCTGTATTCTAACCTGTATATTTGGTGATGTATACTAATTCTATTGTCAATGTCCAGGTATGGGCTGATTTTGCCCACCAAAGGCTATACAGTTCGAGCCCCTACCAGAAAAAATGTCTTTGGAGATGACAGCGATTCTGACTCAGATGGGGGTGGAGGTGGTGATTGGGTTAAAAAGTCAATGAAGGTCTGTGCTATAATAAATATTGTCTTATTATTTTCATTTTTCAACTGCCCTTTTACTAATATTCTCATTTGCCATTTTTCTCATTTTTAGCTTGAGGCCCAAAAGAGTACCCTTAAACGAACAACCAAGAACCAGATGAAAAAAGCCCTTGCCGAAGACCCTACAGTATTCCAGTATGATGAAGTTTACGATGATTTAGAACAGAAGAAAGAGGAGGCCACAGCTGCCAAGAAGGGCGTTGAAAAGAAGGTAATGGAACGCTTTATGAAATGATGTTAGATGATTTATTTATTTTGAAATATTCTGCTCTAACTTTATATTTTGTAGCCTCGCTACATACAAGCTCTTCTTCAAACTGCTGAAAAACGGAAGAAAGAAAATGAGCGACGTATTGAACGCCAGGTGCAAAAAGAACGTGAAGAGGAAGGAAACCAATTTGCTGATAAAGAGAGCTTTGTTACTTCTTCGTATCGTGATAAACTGGAAGAATTTAAGAAACAGGAAGAGGAAGAACAAAGAATGGAAAGACTTGAAGGTTTGTATTTGAAAAAACTATAATCCATTAATATATAGTGGTCAAGTAATTGCTTACAATTTTGTACATACTGTACGATTCATCCTTTTTAATTGGAACCTTGTTTTCTCGTTACAGCTATTGGAGATGTTACCAAACAGAAAGATCTCACTGGATTCTATAGGCATCTTTTAAGACAGACTATGGGGGAAAGTTTGCCTGGATCAAGTGAAGCCAACAATCCAGAAAACACCAGTACAAGTGATGTTAAGGAAACTCAAGAGGACTCTGCCCCAAGTCTTAAGGATGGAAAAGCGACTGTGAAAAAGGATGAACGTAAGAAAGACCGTCATTACCGTAAACGCCGGTCCAGCTCTTCTGACAGTAGTTCTGACAATGATGATAAGCCTAAAAATCAAAAAGAGAAAAATGTTGATGCTGATTCTGATTTTACTGGTTCTGCAAGCAGTAGTTCTGAAAGTGAGAGTGGTGCTACTGGAAGTGGCTCTGAGGAAGGGGAAATTGTAAAGAAGAAGAAGAGTGACCCTCCTAAGTCTGGAAAGCCAGAAAAGGTTGAAAAGAAGAAGCGGAAGATTGATAAGGTAGATGAAAAGAAGAAAACATTTATTGAAACCCCATCTACAATTAAAGAAGAACCCCTCTCTCCGAAAGAGGCAGAAGAAGGCAAAGAGATTAATGGTGGTGAAAAGAATAATGAGGAAATGGTGGATAATGTTAAACAAGAGTCTGATTCTGATAGTGTTAGTGATAAGGTTGAAAAAGAAGTGAAACCCAAGATTGATATTTGGGCAAAGAGGACTGTTGGAGAGGCATTTGATGATGCCGTCCAAAGGTACTATGAAAGAAAAGCAGCAAGAACAGCATCAGGTAGAGCTTAACATCAACAGATTGTGACTAAATTAATTTGTGAATTTTAAATTTAAGGAAATTTACCTATTATTAATTCTTAAGTTAGTACAGGGTTCAGGTAATTCTTATTGTTACAAAACTATGTGTGTATAATTATCTTCATCATCATTGATAAGTAAATCCTCTAAATGTCTTTGGCTTTCGTCATTGTCCATGGCTCTTTCTATTCTGCCTGCTAGTTCTTGCAGCTGGCATTCCAATGGGGTGGTGGTGGTTCCAGAATTTTCGCATGCCTCACTATTTTTTCTTTGCTGCATTTTGCCCATATAGCATGTGAGCTGTGCTAGTTCTTCAAGTTCAATTTCTTTAGACATTCCTCTTCCAAGACGGACAGGTTTGATTTCATCATCCTCCTCAATATCAATTGATAAAACATGTGACAGGGCCTTCTGGAAAGTTTCAAGACTTGTACTGTAAAAGAAAAGTTGTTCCCATTGATTCTCTGTGCAGTGAGATCATTAACTGTATGAAAGGCATTATATCATACCACAGTGGATCGCAAGGGTTTAATGTTTGTTGGTATGATTCCACATAATATAAATTTGTTGCTAAATGGAGGGGCTTGGCTTGAATAAGAACAGCTGCTAATAGTGACACTATATCACTTGATGTTATGGGTGGAATGACTGCCTCATCCTCTAATGTGCAGAACAAAATACAAAATTTAGATAAAATATTAAAACTTCCGAATTAATTGGCTATGCAACGTATCTAACTCTCACCTGATGTCATTTTGTGAGTTTCTGCAATGATCCGTTTTATCTCTGCTTCTATGTAGTCTAGAGTAGAACGGAGACATCTTAGTTTGTCCAAGGGACATTTCTGGATATCCAAAGCAGCAAGCTCTACCACCTACAAAATGAACAGCTTAGTGTTTTTAATGTGACTAAATCAGTTTTTAAAATTGTTCTTGAAAGAGCTTTTAAGACTCACTGCTGCAGGAAATGAAAGAGCATATCCTTCTGGAACACCTAATTTATCTGCCGATATATTTTTTTCTGTCAAATACTGACAGTGTCTCCTAATTTTGTGGTCCTTTTCTTCATATTTTGCAAACAACTCTTGAAATACTCGATCATGAACTTGTGATAAAATAGCACTGTAAAAATAATTATTTAAACATTAATGCTCAAAGATCAAATTCAAATTAGTAACTCAGTGTTTTTACATGTTAAGAAATTTATCTTTATACCTTACAGTGGCAAAAGAAACACACTAAAACAACCTAAACAAATATAACTTACTTTTCAAGAGCAGCCGTTAATGTGTTTTGGAAGGCACGGTCTTGTTGCTGTGCTAGTGGAAGCTGACTCATTATTTCACTCCAGTGATTAACAACTTCTTTCCGAAATCGCTCTGGACCCAAGTTATCGCCCTCATACATTGGCGCTTGGAGGTTGCCTATGCTCATTTCCAGTCTCGAAGTGTACCAATCAAATTGGCTTAAAAATGCCTGAGCACTGAAATCAGGAATATGTTTTGGTTAGGCCGTGCATTGTGCGTTCCGGTACTGCGGACTGCGGGGATGGTGCTTCCCCGCGACCCTCGCGTCCTCGAGTCGAGGGCGATTAGGGCTCTCTCTAGCCGATCCCTGCCCCCCCCCCCCCGTACCTAGGCTGCCCGTTGCATATTTCTGACTGAAGCAATAATCAGTGCTTATCTGGCCGACCCAAAGGCTAGGGCCCAACGCGACGGACCGCGGGGCTCGGCCGGCCGATGTGATTCTCTCTATTCCCTCTGGCCCAGGTGGAACACAAACACTCGAGCAAAGAGAGTCAAAAGAGCGACATCACTTACTCGGCGAGAGAGGACAGATTCACGTTCTCTTCGTCCGCCTGCAGCATCTCGGCAGATGCTGGTCTGGTCAGGGCTGGGGACTCTCCCGAAGCAGGCAAAGAAGGGGAGCGCGAGAGAGACGGTCGCGGATGCCTCGGCCTGCCGACGCGTCGTGCAGAGCTCTGCGGCCGCTTTTAGTGCCATCACATCATGCGCGCGTCGCCCCGCGGTGGCTTTGGTCGCAAACGCTCCCCGAGTGCTGACGCGCGCTGCAGCAAGAGCGCTGAGCAGAGCAAGTGCGGCCCCGCGAGCGGTCAGCGAACCGTCACCGACCACCCTATACTATACACCCGCCGTGCAAAAGTGGCGTGTCTCTCATTCAGAACAAACAAAAGTGAGGTGGTCGTTACAGCAGTTACAGTCGCCGCGCGCTTTCCTGCTATCGGGCGACCCCGGCGCAGCCAGCTCGGAGCGCCTTGTAGCGGAAGGATAGGCCACCCCGCGAGACAGCGGGACGAGACGGGACTGCCTACCCCGCCAGGGGCTCGCTCCGGTGAGCTGCTAGGCGGGCGGGCGGGC